TGGCAACTACCCAGATACTCTGTTCCTAGCCCCAACAAACCCTACTGAAATCTCTCTTATCAAAACACTAAAGAACAAGGCAGGAGACCTAAATAGCTTACCACCATTTATGAATAAAAAGCTTCTCATTTGTTGTCACCCATTATTGCAACACTTTTGAACAAGTCCAGTGAATCTTCAACCTTCCTATCTTTACTCAAGACAGCTAGGGTTACACTAATCCACAATGGTGATCCTTTTGATTTAAATAACTATAGACCAATATCAAACCTACCCCTTCTATCTAAAATCTTTGAGAAAAAATACACAAGCAAATTTACTCCTACCTTGTATCCCACAACATACTTAACCCCTGCCAGTTTGGATTTAGGCCAAACAAAAGTACAAATGATGCAATTTTACATATGCTCAAGCTTCTGTATACAGCGATAGAAAAAAAGAAAATTCCATTGGGCCTCTTCATAGACATACGGAAAGCATTTGATGCAGTTGACCACACACTCTTACACCTAAAACTTGAACATTACAGGGTCAGAGGACACTCGCTCGATTACCTCAAGTCATAGCAATAGACACCAGTATGTATACACAAATGGAGTTTCCACCACACAACCTGTTCTAGTTGGATTCCCCCAGGGCAGTGTCCTTGGACCACTACTATTTCTCATTTACATCAGTGACCTCCCTAATACCTCCAAACAACTTAAACCTGTACTTTTTGCAGATGATACTACCTGTATCTTCTCTCCCTCAGACCAAACCATACTTAGAAACACTAAACAGTGAGCTGCTAAAAATATCCACTTGGATGATGGCCAACAAACTTACTCTCAATATTGACAAAACTTACTTCATACTATTTGGAAGCAAAGTGGCAAATATTCAGCTAAACATATCAATAAACGGTTCCCCCATTTCAAGACACACTGACAGAAAATTTCTAGGGCTCCACATTGACAGCTGCCTTAAATTTCAGACACATACAGCATATTTCCCCCCAAAATCTCCAAAACAGTAGGTATCCTCTCTAACATATGGTACTATGTACCCCAAATGGCACTTCTTGCTCTTTACCACTCTTTCATCTACCCTTACCTCGCCTATGGTATTTGTGCATGGGGTTCAACCACAGCAAATCACCTTAAACCTTTAATTATACAACAGAAAGCTGCTGTGAGAATGATTACAAACTCCTGTGCCAAGCAACACACCCTCTGCCTCCTATTTCTAGGAGGCAGAGGGTTTTTTTTCCTGAGGCTGGGATGAAGGATATTGTTAGCTGTCTGGACGACATCATGAGAGGTAAAGGGAGCAAACCTATTATGTCTCGGTGCTGGAGGCAATGATGTTGGCAGATGTAGGAGTGAGGACCTGATTAGCAGGTATAGGTCAGCAATAGACATAATTGGGAAGAAGGGCAGGAACCCTGTCATATGTGGTATTTTGCCAAGGAGAGGAGTTGGAAGTGAATGGTTGTGCAGGGCAATTTGTGTCAACTACTGGCTGGACAAATACTGTAAGGAAAATGCGGTAACATTCATTGACAACTGGGACCTCTTGTATGGCAGAAATGGCATGTATGCCAGGGATGGGGTTCAGTTATCTAGGTTTTGGGTGGGGGCACTGGCAACTGTAGTGGAGGGAGCTGTTATGGCTTTAAACTAGGAATAGTTAGTGGTATGGGTTTTGGCAGGAAAACAGTGAAGTCCCAGTGTAGTAATATTATGAGTTTTAGGGACACTAGTAATAGGCAGAATGAGGTGGATATTGGAAAACTAGTGGCATTAGGTGACAAGGACAGTAATGGGTTTAGTGGAAAAACGGAAATGAGCAGGAAGGGTAAAGAGAAAGGAGGGTCTTTAAAAGTATATTATGCTAATAGTCGTACTGCAAGGAATAAGTTGGACAAGTTGATATTAGTTGCTAGTGCAGGTAACATTGTAAACTATGCTGAAATAAACACCTTATAACATGTCAGTCACACATTGTAAACTCTGCAAAGAAGTAAAAATTTGAATTTGAAAATGTTGCTTTGCTCAGACTACAACAGCACATAAAGCCCTCAAAACAATTTGACTTTGGCATTTTAGTTCCCTCTTACAACATGCATAGCTTACTGAGGAAATATTCTTTTCCACCAGCAATCCTACCATTGTGTAAAAAAAATGTATACTTTCTTTCAACACACCGGCCGGATCCTACTGAGGTGGGGTGGCCCGAAAGGAAAAATAAAATTTTCTACTTTTACATTTAGTAATACAGTGGAACCTCGGTTTTCGTATGCCCCGGTTTTTGTAAGATTTGGTTTTCGATGACTCTTTTTTTCATCAAAATTTTGTTTCGGTTTTGTACATCTGCTTGGTTTTCATAGATGTGATAATGGTCCGGCGAACCTAATGCGTCCACCTGCCTGTGCTCACACAGAATGTGTGGAACAGAATGTGCCCTCGAGAAGGATTTTGAAGGGTTTAAGGCTGACTCTGACGACCCTACGCCTATTGTGGAATCTATTGTGTCTTTGGGGAAGTCTATGGGGTTGGATGTGAGTGGCCAGGATGTGGAAGAGTTGGTGGATGACCACAGGAAAGAGCTAACCACTGAAGTGCTGCAAGACCTTCTTCTAGAATAGCAAGAGACTGCAGCTGATGAAATTGCTTCAGAGGAGGAGGAAAAGAGAGGGGAGAATGTGCCTTCTTCAGTGATTAAGGACATGTGTGCAAAGTGGAATGAGTTGCAAAGTTTTGTAGAGATATCACCCTATCAAAGCTGTTGCAAGTCATGTCTGCAACATGTTCAACGACAATGCCTTGTCCCATTTTAGGCAGATGTTAAAGAGTTGCCAGAAACAGAGCTCTCTGGACAGATTTTTGTATGACAGGGGTCCAGTCACTCTCAAGCTGGTTCTAGTGCCAGTAAAAGACAAAGAAGGTAAGTAACCCCAGATAGGGTCTTGATGCCTGAAGTCATTATGGAGGGGGATTCCCCTTCCTAACAGTAACCTCCTCCTCCTCCCTCTCCCGTCCTCACCGTCTTCCACACGCCAACAAGAGTCTTCATTAAAGGTAAAAGTGATCTTAAATGTTCTTTATCCATTTCATTTTTTTTTTTTTTAACCAGCCGTATCCCACCAAGGCAGGGTGGCCCAAAAAGAAAAACGAAAGTTTTTCTTTTTAAATTTAGTAATTTGTACAGGAGTTACTAGCCCCTTGCTCCTGGCATTTTAGTCGCCTCTTACAACATGCATTGCTTACGGAGGAAGAATTCTGTTCCACTTCCCCATGGAGATAAGAGGAAATAAACAAGAACAAGAACTAGAAAGAAAATAGAAGAAAACCCAGAGGGGTGTGTATGTATATGCTTGTACATGTATGTGTAGTGTGACCTAAGTGTAAGTAGAAGTAACAAGATGTACCTGAAATCTTGCATGTTTATGAAACAGAAAAATAAGACACCAGCAATCCTACCATCATGTAAAACAAATACAGGCTTTCGTTTTAAATTCACTTGGCAGGATGGTAGTACCTCCCTGGGCGGTTGCTGTCTACCAACCTACTGGCTACATTTCATTAATCATTTTATTTATTTCTCGTTGTTTTCTGTATGTAAAACTATAGTTATTCTCTATAAAATGTATTTTTTTGTTAATATTTTTGGGTGTCTGGAACGGATTAATTGATTTATATCATTTCTTGTGGGAAATATTGCTTCAGTTTTTGTACAGTTTGGTTTTTGTCAGACTTTCTGGAACGAATTAATCATGAAAACCAAGGTTCCACTGTACAGTCATAATTTGTTCTGGTTACATTCCTGAAACTGAACTACTAATGATTTCTACAATTGTGGGCTGAAAAATGGGGAATGGGGGGGTGAATAGGGTTGGGTATTTCCAGGCGAACTATAAAAATTGACCCCTACCTCGCCTTCCTTTCCCTACAGATTTATCATGCATGTACAAGCATATATATACACACCCCTCAGGGTTTTCTTCTATTTTCTTACTAGTTCTTGTTTATTTCCTCTTATTTTCACGGGGAAGTGGAACAGAACTCTTCCTCTCACCTCTGATTCACTCTCCACCTAGCTGTTTATAGCCTCAACACTATTTTCTGCCCCACAGTGCTGTATGACCCTTGTCGGTTTAGCGCTTTCTTCGATTATAAAAATAATAATACAGCTTTAATCTGAATCTGGAAAATTACTAGAGAAGTTTAGAACACTAAGGAAATTTTGTCCAGAAAAATTTTAAGGTGATTAGTGTTCATGATGTTACTAAACTGCATCTAAGTTGAGGTAAATTAGTAATTCTTTTCAAGTGGTGCAATCATAGGAGACTCACAAAAAATACTGCTAATATCAGAAGATTTTGATGTGCAGAAATGACAAAGAAATGGGGGTTATTTCAGGTGTACTTAATTCACTTAAAAGGCCAAAACCTTTTAATTTGTAATTCCTTTTTTTCTTTGTACTCTATAACATAAAATTGAGAGTACCATTAAAATATTGCCCTTAACCCTTAAACTGTCCAAACGTAGATGTACGTATGACCCAAGCAGGTGAAAATGTTCACCTGTCAGTGTGATTGTGACTATTTGAGTACTGTTTCAGTAACTAATATTAGTGTCAGAACAAACATTGGCTATGAAATCACAAAAACTGTTATAAATTGTAATTATCAGAACATAAAAAAATATATAAACTAAAATAAAAACGAAAAAAAGGTATATCGGCAACAGTTCTGCAAGCGACAGGAGCCGATGTTGCTGTCTTGCACCAACTTCACAGGCTTACTTCTCAGTAAGTACTGACCCTAATTTTTTTTATCCTATAACATGTAGAAAAATGCACTCTTCACTTAAATTAATTTTTTTTTTTTAAATATTCGGAGCGCTATGTGAGAGAATGTAGATCTACATTTGAACAGTTTAAGGGTTGAACATATAATGCATTACAGTGTGCAGTGTTTTTCCAGTGGATGATTTATATCTGATTTTTTACTGTAGGTTCCACCATCAGCCAGACAAGAGGAACTAAGATGTTGCTCAAATCGTCCTCCTAGGAGTCCTGCACCAGATTATCCTAATTCTCCAAAATCCCCCCACAAACCTTTCTCTTACTCAAACCCAAATGAAGCATCATTTCCCTCACAACTGAATAGAGCTGCCACGCTGTCTCCAACATCCAGTGTTTCTTCACATCGCCTTATGGCTGCATCTCTTACACTGCCTGCATCTCTTACACTGCCTGCATATGGTGCATCCTCAAATAAGAACATGCCACTAAACTGTGCTTCTAATGCCCCCCAAATCCCTTCTATGATTCAGGTTACTCCCCCCATTGTTCCCCCCAGCAGTGCCAAGCCCCACTATCCTGCCACCCCTACCACTCCCATCTCTACTGAATATCCAGACTTAAATGAGACTGATCCAAATTCTGCCTTGCTTGACATATTGTATAACATAAGTCCCCCAAAAGGCTGGCGTAAAGAGTACGATGCTCTCACACAGATGGTATACTTCTACAACACAGCCACCAAACAGCGGGTAAGTACAATATTGACAATTTTTAGTACTGTAATTGTTAGTGTAGTATTTCAGTTTGTATTTACAGTGTTAGTAAAATCAAATACCTTTGTTTTCAGAGATATACATTTCAGCTTAATAAAATAAGAACTTTTAATATTGTATGTTATGATAAAAGTGGAGGAAAATCGTAATAGTTACCATGGAAGTTACCTATATGCACAAAAATAATTTTAACTACTTTTGGCTCCTACCTTCACTTTTGCCTCTTTTCTTCTCTGTCCCCCCTTTCTATTCTTATCTCACCAACCACTCCCTACTTTATACTACTACTACCTCTACCACTACTACTTCCACTTCCTGCCTTACCTCTACTGCTACTACTCCTACCTCTCTTGTCCCCTCCCTGCCAGCTGGCCTATATTTACTGCTTCTTTCTTTCCCTTCTGTCAGTGTGACTTTGTAAATGGTTCAAGATGGACCAAAACATCATCATAAACTCCTCTCTCTTACGTGCGGGTTATTTGTGTATAATTTTAACAATGTTGATGAGAGAGATGTAACCATAATTTTGAGAGGTATTTGCACATAAAACTGGACAAAAAAGTTCGTGTGTATTTTATAACTGCTTTAGTGTCTTGCTTACACTTTCTATTTTTAAAAAGTTAAGTTGCTTATGTACTTAGTTCTTTAAAACATAAGATTCTGTAATGATTCAGTTTATTTATACAGTTCATGCCACAATTTTAGGTGTTTGGGAGACTCTAATATTCTTAAATGATAAAAATTTCTGTTACTTGTTTGTTTTTATTGTGTTTTTCTTTCTGCATGAATTATCTTCTTTCTTTGATATTGTCTCCTCTTGCAAGTGTGGGTTATATTGTGTGGATTGGTTGTACTTTGTCATCTTCTGTGTTTTTTTTTTTTTTTTGACATAAATTATTAGTTCTACTGTACAGCCAGCCCCCAAATTTGTGAGGGGTTAGGCTTCTAGAGGCCTCGAAAATTTCAAAGCGGCAAATAACACAAAATTGAGTGCATAAAACTTAGTAAGGCTTTGGGTTCATATTATGTTTCAGAGAGCATATCTTTTTAAATATTGCTTTATTCTGGTTATTATTGACATTCATTAGAACTAATGACTAGAAAGAAGTGAAATTTAGGCATTGGAAAGCCAGTGAGCACAATTTGAATGTAATCATATTGTTTGTTTTCATTAAAACCTAAAAAATTGTGGACTGAGAGAGCCTACAAATAATCACATTTATTTGCAGGTTGTCCATCAATAAAACTGATAAGTAAACTACAAGACTTTGGAGGCCAACTTTGTATGCACTCAAAATTTTGAAGTTTACTGTTTGTCCATTTCACTATATCTGTTTCAGATTATTCAGAATTAGTTGTGTGCCCACAGATTTCTATACAGTTCTTTGGCTTCTTTTTGTTCTGTAACTTGATACAGTGTAATAGAAGGGGGGATAGTTATGACAAAAGATTTTTGTTCTTAATGTTTTGTAATGCTATACCAAGTTGTAGACATTACTATGTAATTTTTTTATATTCATGGGGAAGTACTAAACCCACAAAAGTCATACTTAGGATGAATGAGAAGAAATTAGGTTCAGATCAGAGCAGGTGAGGCAAGTCCAATTCTTTGAATCAAAACCTCCTCATTGGAGTCCATGAATCTCTCTCTATGGTATTAGTACATTAAAAAACAAGTGTTCTTGCAGCATCATTGGTCATTCATCAGTTATTTTTGGCTAGATATTATATCTTGCTCTTCCTTGGGAGCAGTGAATTTCTGTATTGCAGTAGTCCGACAAATTAATATAATAATATTTGTATCATAAGTGATATTTCTTAGGAGCAAATTGCAGTCAGCCCACAGACTGGTGATAAGACCATATAATGTTTCAGTCTGTTCTGGGTCATTATCAGTCCATGAATTACTGTGACTTTTATTCTTCCTTGGAGTCAGATACTGCTGTATATTTTGATAGGCAATACTACAACACAGGAGTGCCCCATTTATACAACAGGTTAGGTTCCAGGCTACTGCTGTAAAGCAAAAATCGCATTAAAGCAAATCACTTTAACTTGCATATAAAAGCCTGATAACATGCTTACAATATCCTATATTAAGTGAGCAATATAACTAGGCCTTAACCCTTTCACTGTCAGTCATATTAGTATGACTTACAAGCCAGTGTTGGTGGTGTATTAATACCCCAAAATTCTAGTGGCTTCAAATCTAGTGGGAGAAAGCTGGTAGACCTACATGTGAGAGAATGGGCCTATGTTGTCAGTGTGTGCAGTATAAAAAAAATCCTGCAGCACACAGTACAAAATGAGAAAAAAAAAAGTCCAACCATGTTTTTGGTCTGAAATGCTGACTTTGAGGTGTATGTATTTTTGTATGGTATTTGTGGTTGTATTCTCGTTTTCTTGGTCTCATTTGATAGAATGGAAGATATATTACAGAAATAGAAATGATTTTGACTAGTTTCACAATGAAAAGTACTTGAAACTGAGCTCAAAGTAGCAGAAATGTTCGATTTTTGCCGATGTTCGAGAGTAAACAAATGACATCACTGTTCAGTGTGTGTCCAACTGGCCAGTCTGATACGCAGTCACAAATGGGTTGACATTATTTATACAATTATTACAATAATGCAGTACTCTGCATAACAGTAAAAATTCAAAATGGAAACCAAGAGTAATATAAGAGGGGCCTGGAGACATGACTAAGGAACAGGGAAAATGTTATTTTAGTGCCAGGAATGTCTGCATTGTTTATTCTGGACCCTATTTTGAAATTGGCATCTTTGAAAAATTGTGTGCAATTGGCCAAATTGTAGACAGCCTGTACTGTCAGAACACACAGCCTAGCCGTCTGTTCTGACTAGTTCATATTTTGCGGCATTTAAGTGCTGCCCTCTGTAGGCTCACCCAGGTCAGTGGGAGGCTGAGCCCATTCGGTCTCACTCCTAGGCCGTTCGACTTGATAGGCACAAGTGCTCCCCCTTCACGGACTGGCTTGCGGTCATTCCCTCACACTGCCCGTTGTGTACTCACTCCTATCCAATTAAAGCCAAACTAGTCCACGGCCATATCATTGCTACCTACGCTACCTTCATCGGCACTAAACCACTGTTCAGCAGCAAGAACAGTAATAACAAAATTGCCAATTTCTGACCACTTTATTGGGTAGTTGAAATCGATATATAGGCGATTTCTTGTACACAGTCGATAGAACAAGTGGAGTTCTAGCAAAATAGGTATGAGTTTGGTAGACTGGAACAATGGAATTGGCTGAAAATAGGGCTCAGTGGGCGAAATCACTGATGCGTATATATCGCCGAGACCGCTAACTTTGCAAGAGCATAATTCTGTAAGTTTTCCATCAAATTTCATACTTCTGGTGTCATTACCATCAGGAAAGGGTTTTCTATCATTTCATAAGATAAAATAATTTTTATTTTTAAATTCTTCGACACTGAGAGCAAGTTTGTGAGCAGGGGTCTCAACAGTGAAAGGGTTAAAAATGCATGTACAGTACCCACATTACATACCTTAAAATATTTTCATCCTTAGCTTATAGCTAGTAGTGAATATATTTATTGTAGGAAGTCTGAATAAATGAACACTGGTTATAATTGAAAACCACTGTATTAGCAAAACACTGTAAAGTGGGGCCTGCCTGTAGTTGTTTTATCAGGTTTAGAAGGGGATATGTTAGGTGTGGTATTACTCTGGAGGGCTTTGATCATCTTTATCTACAGTAATTTTCCATCTCTTTAGTACAGTGCATTCCTCATGTCTTGAAAATATAATAATTTAATATTTTGCAAATTGCTTAAACATATCAAACTTGAATATGGCATGGATGGTAAACACAATTTTGTATTAATCCTTTTTGATAGTGACATTGATTTTTTTTTTTTTTTTTTTTTTTTTTTTTTAACAACAAGTCGGCTGTCTCCCACTGAGGCAGGGTGACCCAAAAAAGAAAGAAAATCTCCAAAAAGAAAATACTTTCATCATTTCAACACTTTCACCTCACACATAATCACTGCTTTTTCAGAGGTGCTCAGAACACAACAGTTTAGAAGCATATACAGGAAGGCCCCGCTTTACGGCGTTTCACTTTACGGCGTTCCGCTAATACGGACATTTCAAATTATGACCAAAACTCACTATACGGCTCCCCCCACCTGACTTTCTAATACGGTCACCGTGCCCCACCCTGTTTGTTTACATTCTCCATGAGCTCAGTAAGCACTAAGTCTCTCCATTTTGTCTGGAAACTCCAAAATTTCAAATGTTTTTAAAAGTTATTTCATATTTTATATATACTCTGATAATTATACTTATGTATACCTGTACCTAAATAAACTTACATACATCAAGTCATTTAAATGTCGTATATTACGTTAATATACACATTTTCCATAATCCATCCATGATATTTTTTTCAAAAAATTATATAATAAACACGATGCATAACATATAAATAAGATAAAATACACCCCACAGTAGAATAAATATAAACATAAATGTGAGCTGTGGTAGCAGACGACTTCCACAAGTGGTGATAATAACAATAGTCACGAGTCTCATTAATGTCGTATATTACGGTAATATACACATTTTCATTAATCCATCATGATATTTTTTTCAAAATTATATAATAAACACGATGCATAACATATAAATAAGATAAATACACCCCACAGAATAAATAAACATAAATGTGAGATGTGAGCAGACGACTTCCACAAGTGACCGCCATAATAACAATAGTCACCGAGTCTCATTAAATGTCGTATATTACGGTAATATACACATTTTCATTAATCCATCCATGATATTTTTTTCAAATTATATAATAAACACGATGCATACATATAAATAAGATAAATACACCCCACAGTAGAATAAATAAACATAATGTGAGCTGTGGTAGCAGACGACTTCCACAAGTGGTGATAATAACAATAGTCACCGAGTCTCATTAA